ACATGAAAATAGTTAATAAAAATCACTTATTAAATATTAAAAATAATTTTAATTTTAGAATAAATAAAAAATTTATAAGAATCAAAATCAAAAATATTTTATAGAGATTAAAAATATATTTAAGTATTTTTATATTTATATTAAATTTTATGTAATCTAATTTTTCATTAATTAACTATAAAAACTTTGTATTAATAATGCATAGTAAAATTATACGTACTATTTGCCGTTTTACATTAGGATTTCAAAATATTAAAAAAAAAAATTCATAAAAGATGAACGATGATCCTGAAGTCCGTGGCTGGCTTCTTCCATTTGCAGTTGTTCTCTTTTTGTCCAACAAAGTTTGGTAATTAATGGTCCAATAAACAAGTGTGGCCCATAAATGGGTCCATCAATTACGTTAACCATCCGTGGCAGAGAGGACTAAAGTAAGACCCACACCCACCATCAATTCTTGACTTTCCACTCAGTCCAAACGACCCATTTATACACACTCAAGTACCCTGTGCCCCATTACAGCAAACTAAATTGATATTCAAAATCAACTCTCACCTAAAACAAGGTCCACCATTACCTCCATTCATTTTTCTACTTCCTCTATTTTCTAATCGTGAATTTTTTACGTAAATATTATTTTTTTTTTAAAAAAATATCCAAATAACCACTGTGCAGGTTTATTTACACAGATAGAACCATTCACTGTTCAAGCTCAGAATTCGGTTCCCCTGGAACCGAATTCTGAGCACCAAAATGTATTTTTTTTTTGTTTTTTCAACTCAGAATTCGGTTCCCGGGGAACCGAATTTTGAGTTGCTTTTATATATATATATTTTTTTTCATGTTTGCAGGAGAGACGTGGGCTGACGTTGGAAGCGGAACGTATATATTTATGACTTAATTCTAAATAATTTAAACAAATTAAAAAAGCTTAACAAAATTAGTTGTGGATTAAATTAAGCCTATAATGTTATTATATTTAAAATTAAAAATATTTATATTATATCATTGTTATTTTTTAAATTATATCATTTTACTTTAATAAAATATGATATATATTTAATTAATTAATATTGAACTATTATGATACAAAGATTAAAAAAAAAGAAGGTATTTTTGACAAGTTGATAATTATGTGATTTAGTACATTTTTTTTTCTCATGAGATCAATATAATATATATTTTTTTGTTACATTACTACTTTGAGTTAGTTTTTTTTTTTATTCCACAAACAAGTCTTATTCTTAATTGATTATGTTTCCTAACTGAAGACATAAGTTAAATGGTGTTATGTGTGAGTTAGATAGAGGCTTTTTGCTTGGAGGTCAAGCATGGATTTTGTCATGCTAGACATGAGAGATTCAATGACTTTCTACATCATCCATGCTAGGCATAGGTATAGTTAAAATTTTAATCAACCTAATATAATTTTAAACACGTACTTAAAGGAGATAACGAGTATAAGATAATTAAAAATTTAATTAAATAATTGTAAGAATAAAAATGATAGTATTTATTAAAAATGTCGAAAAGTAGTAAGCTCATTCCAACTTTTCTCACCTTGTCGAATTGATACCAAAACTTACTAAAATGCACCATGCCAAAGTCTTTCTTTAAATATTCTAAGAGTACACAACAAAATAAAGCACCGCATGTCACAAACATGTAAAAG